TCTTTCGTCAGCTTTGTTACAGCGGAAATCTATTCCTGCTCTTCCTGAAATATTATTTCAAAAAAAGAATTATAAAAACGCTTAATTCGAATTATCGCTGGAGCTCACTTTTTCATCCTGGAGCATAACAAGCATTTGGCGCAAATATATCTAACCATAAAAATGCATGGTTGGCATGGGTGAAAGGGTCCACGACAACTTACTGGTCTTTTTCACAGTGAAAGAGAATTACTAAGTTACGTTCGTTATAGATCTCGATGAACAACTGCGAGCAGCACAAATGTGTCGCAGGCAAGAGCACATTTTGCTGTTGTTACGGTAATCTGTGCAACAGTCGGTACGAGCTGCAAGAGGAACCCTCAAATTCGGAAGAAAACTCCTGAGATTTACTCGCACAGAACTGTGCAGTCCATTTATGTTTTACAATATATGTTACAGCATTCTGTGACGTACATAACAGAGCTTGTGCCCGGTATATCCTGGAGCGCTAAAAAATTTCCCAGCAAATTTTTATGATGACAACCCGATTTTTGTTGTTTTTTGAGGTGAAAATTGCTAAATTTTCAAAAATTCTTCGAAGCATTTATAAAAATTTTTATAGATTGCTTTTTGTAACTTCTCTCAGATCTCACCAGTGGATGTGGGCACTCATGTTTTATCATTTCCAGTGTTTATCTTCTTTTTTATGAATTACTGCAGCTTCGTCGTTATTTTTAGAACAGTATTACTGATTGTATAAATTTGTTCGGTTTTCGGATATTCCTCAAAATAGAGAAATTCGGCCCCAGGCCTAACAAACTGGGAGATTTGAACAGCCCGAAAGCTGAACTTGCAATCGCAATAATTAATTTACAGCGCGATATGCTTATTCAGGAGGTATTATTTTCGGATTTATCGAAAATTTCGTGGCGTAGAAATTCTGTACTAAGGGCTTTGTGGATTTTCTAAAATGTTTCATCACAATCAGGTTGTTGAGGCAGAGATCAAGACAGTTTCTTACGGCACTAGCTGAACCTCAAAAAATCTGCGTATTTTCGCTCAACTCCCTCATTTCAGAAAGCTCATTTTTTTGCAAGTCTCTTCCTTTTCCCGCGCATAATATGGCCAGTACTGATAGAGAAATGTTATGGCGCATAAAATGTCCGATTACTAAACTTACGCTAGTGACAGATCTGTGTCCGTCGTCACCTAATTTTCTAGCTTGATTTGTTTCGTTCTTTTGTTCTCACTTGTGCAATGCTCATATTTCGCATTTTAATAATATATACATATTTTAATTTATATTTTACTTTTTTGACAAGCCGCACTCAAAGCTGAAAATGAGCTGCTGACAGTGCGTGCGCCATCCAATAACCAAGGCTCGTTTTTTTCCTAGAGTCTACTACAGCTCTGTTATGAAAGCTGTCACTGCTTGATCTGCAGGTTGATGCTCTCTGATAACTGTTTTAGCATAGTGAACCCGTTTCCGAAACAAGCTAGCCGAGCAAAAAATGAAATCAGTTTCTCAGTGAAGACCAGAAATACAAAGATTTTTTGACTGTGGAAATTTTAGAGCCTGGACGAGTTAGAGTTAATTTTGACAGTCACAGTCGTGTTCTTCTGGACAACCAAAAAATGATCGTTGATTTTGAACTTATGAGTGGTGCTAAAGAAATTTTCTAGCTCGGAACCAGACAAGACAGAAAGTTGAAATTTCAGAAGACTGCTTCCCACCTATGTGTAGCACAGGATTTTTAAGTAAGTGATGGGTGGCGTGTCAGATGCTAGCATAAATCTGTGAAGTATCACGG